CAGTTCAGTGAATAATTGTGGTGGGGATCATACAGGTCTGGATCTCATTAAGGCAATTGTCTGAGAACTTTCAGGTTCAGACCTGTCGTTATGTCACCTGCCTTCTTATCACAGGAGGCAGAGTAAGGAAACTGTGGCTTATTAATGTGTCTGTCAGTTTTCCAGGTCATGCGGTTCAACATTAAAATAGCAACACATGCTAACACAAAGCTGTTTTGCAGCAAACACTCTTGAGTTACAAGCATGTAACTCACATGGATACTTCTGACATCTGTGGACTCGAGGCATATTAAAGACAGGTACATCATCACAACCAGTATCAGTCTTTGAATGTCTTCTCTTTTCTCATCAGCACCAACCCCCCCAACCCGCACCTAGTCTTACTTTGTATTCACAATGGCTGCTTCACCATCTGAGATTACATAGATAAGAAGTGGGGTAGATTTTGGGGTGGGGTGGGGTCTTTCTCAAGCAGCTTTTTAAAAAGAGAGGTATCAGTCAGGTGCTGATGTTACACTGATGCAATCTTTCAGCCTACAGAGGAGGTTACGTCTGGACACTGTGCTGCTTTGTATCAACTTACAAGCAGTTATAGTTCTGTGACAGGATGTTGTGAACAAATGTGCTTAGAGAACTACATGATGTTTGACTTTGTATTAATGAGGAGCTGTCTTTCAGGGATATACTGTCATTTTAAACTGAACTAATTATCTTGTTTGTGCCTTAAAGCGAGTCACTACAGAGTCACATTTAGGCTCACTGAGCTGCACAAATCTATCTGACAAACCTAGAGGCTAGAATTAAAGCACGCATGTTACAGTGCATTTAAACCCATTTATTCTCATGCTTTCAGTTGTAATTCAAAGCACTCACCAAAGAAACAGAACACTATATAAACGCTGTCTTCCATTTCAAAATGTCATACACTCAAGAGTGCACTTGTTTAGCATAAATAGAGTAAAATATCTGTGTCATAGAATATAATCTCTTTTTAAAAAATCTCTCTAAGCATATCAGAGTAGGAAATATAGCATTTACATGTGCAGAATCTAAACAGAAAGAAAGACAGAGACATAGACAAATCAGCAGGTGCACAGCACTGTTCCAGAAACCCAGAGATAAAATGTCTGTCCCCATCATAAATATAAATTAAAAATTAAGCTACACATTGTACTGCAAGTGTGTAATCAGCCCAAGGCTGGAAATACGACGTAGCGGAAGGGATCTGGACGTAGTTTTAAGTAGAAGATTATGTCCAGATGCCTTCTTCTAAGTTTTTTCAGCATACTATGACCTGGATGATTGAGAATTCGCACGGACAATCAGCCCAAGGATTGTGTGATATGCACATTCAACAGCATCAATATTACAGTACTATGGGGGGATTATCCCAGAATAAGGTGCAGGGTTGGTTGGAGTCACCTCTTAATGAAGTTCTATTTCAGTATGCAGTAATTTGCCTTCTAAGAAATGCAAAAGAGATGGTACAAAAAGTATTACATCATAAATGAAATATAGAAAATAAAGTTTAAGTAGTGATATGACAAATCTGAATCAGAAGTGACTCCACAACCCAGCGTATAGGTGAGAAGGCGCTATGGGGCAGAGGCTGACTAGTTGGTCTTCTTGCAGTTTTCCGTCTCTGTGTTCTCCGACTCCTCTTTAGCCCTGAGCGCTTCACTTGTGTGATTCCCTGCTGCTCCGTTCTCACTGGACTCTTTGGTTGTGGCAGGGGAGGTTGCCCTGTCAGTTGTGCCATTATCGATACATGCTTTCTTTACCTCGCCGGTGAGAGCGGCATAAGAGGAGAAGCCAGTGAAGAGGGTCTTGTAGATGGCCGACTCGATAGTGGCGAATGGTGAGGCAGAGGAGCCTGTCAGGATCATCCTTGACTGAAAAAGAGAGAATGTGAGAAAAGACAGAATACGTAACTGCCTAATCATTTCCAATATGTGGGAGCATCTTAAATTCCTTCAGCATAGCAGCTGTCTCTAAAGCAGTTGCAATTCATCTATTTATATTAATGGCAGATTACATGACTAATTGTCACTTGCAGTGATGAACCCAATGAAGATTATCATCCGACTCTGCAATTTCATTCATTTCTAGTGCTGCATTTTTGAGTCTTTCATCTCATCACTTTGGTGTAGTGGCCTGTATAATTACTTCTTTGCCACTTTATCACTCTCACTGCTCTCATCAGATCTGTTTTCAGCCATAGTAGACAGCCGCTTTCAGCAAAAATAAATTAACTAATTAATTATTTAACTAACTAACTAAATAAAAAAATGAAAACCCCACTGTGCGCTACCTGATCAGCACCATTCAACAGGCAAAATTAGCAATTATCTAGTGAACACAGTAGATCATCTCAACACCAATGAACTGAAAGGAGTTAGTGGAGGCCAAAAACAGACACAGAGAAAAAAATAAGAAATGATATTCAGAAATACAACTTCAAATAAAAAGATTGATGCTTATTGTACACGCCTACCGTAAGCAATTTGTCACTTTTCATGGAAAGCTGACCAATTATGTTATGGTGGCCTAGTTTACATATAAAAGCTAAATAAGTGGGTAACATATTAGTAATTACTTTTCATTAGAGGATGAGACTATGACATCCTAATCATCAGAAACACATAATAATAATAAATAAGAGGAAAAATAGCAGGTTTATCTTAAATCTGATGAAATGGCTTGGGGTTAATTTGACAGATCAGAGTCAGAGGGAGCAAACAGAATGAGAGTTGAAAGAAGACATGGTAGATTTATCTGTGTCTCAGTCAAGAGCACAAGTTTCCCAGAGAAGAGAAGATGATGCAAGCTGATGAAAATGATGCAAACGCCCCAGGCCTACGGGTAATACCTAATGTGAGTCACCACAGTTAAAACTTCAAAAAAAGGAGGAAGGAGTAAGGTCACATAGAAGACAACACACCACCAGGGGGGGGGGGGGGGGTTGTTAAACCTGAGATATGATCTAATTAATACATCAAGAATGGCATTTAATAGGTTTTCTTGTCTAGATAAGCAACTAAATACACCAAAACACACCTTCCTGTTTTGTATCTGAATCACTAACAGCTTGGATATACATTCCCAAGGTCACAGTGTCAGGAAGGAGATACTACCTTGTTGGCCACAATAAAGACGGTGTAGATGAGCATCAGGTGGTGCTTCTGGAGAGGTAGGTAGTGGGTCTGCTGCAGAGTAAACAGCACCGCCCCTATCAGGGTGATCTTGGTGGGGCTAAACACAAAACAAATCAAGGTACAACAGATATAGAGGCTCAACTAGAAGCTGCTCAGTTTAGTATAAACACAAGTAACGGACAGACCGGCTGTGTCCACAACTAACAAAAGCTGGCTCGCTGTCACTAATCAACGCATTATATCTTGTTTGTTTTACTTGTGCAAAAGCTAAAGTGTAATATTACAGTTTTATGTGTCAGACTATTTAATGTCAGGAAACCAGCGGAGACTCCAGAGAATGACTACACCCAGCCATTACTAACAGTAGTAACACAGCAACTTATCACTTTTATGCAAATGAGCATACTTCCTATAGTGGTGAATTATTCCTTTAAATGTCCCATTACACTCAGTACATTATATAAAAATATAAAAATGCAGTTTTATAAGCACAAAGATAACTAATAAATAAATAATCACTGATGTAATATAAGTAGAGCCTTACAGAAAACTTACTAAGACATTTTGAGGAGCTCATTAGTCTCTGGTGTCCATACTCCTCGAACAAGCTGCTCAAAATTACGTATCAGACCAGCTCCAGCACCTAGTAGACGAGACATATGGCTGACACACACATGATGCATACCTGATATTAATTAAATCACTAAATACTCAAACTACTTAATAATGTTAACCTAAAAAAAGTGTGCAGCTGCTGACCTTTAGCCCACCCAACAGCAATCATGACCAGCAGGCTGTCCTTGTATTTGCTGTGAGCCTGTGTGACTCCTCCAAGCACCTTCCAAGTCCTGGTCACTTCCTTCATTCCTGACAGCACCAGCCGGAGAGGCAGCAGGGCGGCACAACAGTACACCAGGTCCATAGGACAGTAAAATACTAGGTACCTGTAGAGACACATAAGGCTCAGATTACTAGTGCACACAGATAAACATTTCAGCTACCTACTGAGTGGAAACTTTGTGGTCAGAAATCACTTTGACAGTATCACCTGCTTGTCTGTGTCAGGTACCTGACTTCACCAGCAGAGGGCAGTGTTCTTTTTTGATTTTTGTGGGAAGGGTGTAATTTTATGTGCCACCAGTAGAGGGACCCGAAGGTTTCTTATGAAGAGGTGGTACCTCTACAATAACTGTTCCATTCAGTGTCTTCAACATTTCATGCTCCTGTTACAGAAAACTAAGTAGTTCTACAAGAAAACCTCATTATTTTGTATTTTTATTTCATGAAGCATAGAGACTAGAATATGTTTATATTTTGCTTTTTCTAAAAGTTGCATATGGCCTTTTTTCCTTTGTCTCACACTTCATCTCTCTCTCTTTCTATATATACATATGTATGCTGTACGTTTTAGTGTACCAGATGATCGAAGCAAGAAGAACACTGGTGCTGTTGGCCAGAGGTGCTACAAGTGGTTCAGCCAACATGACCCCAGACAGAACAGCTCCGCCAAAACAGAAGAGCATGGAGCTGAACCAACAGGCAAGAGGGCTGACTCTGGACACCTCAAGAGCTCCTGCACAAGGACAAAAGTAAATGTATTAGCATTAGCAAAAAGACCACTTGCTGAATGATGCTGCAGAATGAGATCAGAAGTGCAGGACATTTGCAGACTGTTGTTTGACACTATGGCTGTTGCCCTGTGTGATGCATGCCTCCCTCAATCTCTGATGCTGGATAAATATTAACTAGTTCAAGTTAACAGGCACAGAGAACAAAAAGAGAGAAAGGTTTATGCAATCATGAAGGTACACATGATTTGCACTTTGCACAGCTCAAAGTGCAGAGCATGGTCACAATGTTTACACTTAAACACTGGCTATGTCATAAATTCATCTGCTCGGCGTCCCCTCTAGGTTCCATTATGTTTTTAGAAACCATTTACACCCTGATTACATACAGGAGCACTCATGAGTTAAAGGAAACAAATTTTATAAGCAAGTCAAACAGCATGAGAACTATTCGTATGTGATGTTCTCACTGTAAATCTTCACTATTAAAAGAAGATTAAGTGTGATGATTTAATTAAACTGTCAACACAGGTTTTATTTCCAAAATCATGACACTGAGGTAATAAATTATGGTGCAGACACATTCCAATAACATCTCAGAATGGCTTTGTTGACTCTTCCAAATGTAATGCTGCCAGCGTACGCTATGTGTTTCACTTAATTTCAGACTGGTAGTACTCAGTCAGGCTGGAGCCGCCTGCCCTGCGCAACTGCGGTCACACACGGGAACATACTGGTAATCTGAGGATTACAGACAGATTATAGACTCCTGGAGAGATAGATCTGCCTCCTCTGCACACTCTCCTCAGCTTCAGTCTGTGTTGAACACATTTTAATTCTCCTACACCTCTGTAAAAATCATTAAATGTCACAATTTCACTTGCTAGCCATTTAAAATACATTGGTCAGCATTACAAATGACTTTTCTGAATGAGAGCAATTGAAGACCGGTACAGTTTTGAATAGATCTGATGCAAAAATACAAGTGGAAAATTACTGACAATGTATGGCCTTGCATGACTTTTGGACAGTTTTACCCCGTTGTAACCAATAACATGACTAGACGCTGTAATGCACTGCGCTAACTGTTGGGAGGGAACGATCTTTAGTGTTAACAAGTTTCACCTGTGCTTCACCTGCTGTGTCCAGTGCAGCAAATGTCTGACACCAAACTGTAGCTAACACATCATGACTGGCAGTAAGGCACGACTGCAGCATCAAATTGCAGTGTTTCCAGTTTTACCCGTTTTTTTGTTATTTGCATTCTGCAAGTGAATCTGTGGCACAGTTTTAATTTTGTGTGCACATGAAATCTTATGTGGTGAACCTTCTGTGGTCCAAAAGTAGTTGCCACAGAAGGAAGTTAGAAAGAAAAAAAAATCAGGAAGACAAAAATGCACCCGTTTTAATTTTGTGTGCACATGAAATCTTGTGTGGTGAACCTTCTGTGGTCCAAAACTAGTTGCCACAGTTAAAAAAAGGAGGAAGTTAAAAAAAAAAACAGGAAGACAAAAATGCACCCAAACATCAGATACTTGGCCGTTAAAGAGGATTCTGATTCTGAGACTGGGGATGGTGGTTATAAAATACATCAGTAGCACCCTAACTGTCACGCACGTCCATTTCTCCTGCTTACAGCACACGAGTCCTGATGTAAGTGCTCAGCATTAGCGGTTTTGGCCTAACAGCAGTTGTGTCACTTCTCAGGTGCAGCACATTGCTTACACAGTAAACTGTGCTGCTCTGTCATCACATTTGATTCAAGAGCAAAACAAACAGCGGCAGTCAATGTTTGAGCCTGATCTCTGGCCAAGCACAACCTTTGAAGAGTGAATGTATGGGGTGTTTCACTGTAGAGGAGGAGACTACTGCACATTCATTTTGCAAAACATATTTTAAATCACCATATAACCTACAGCACAGGCAACTAGTCCAGGTCAGTTTGGAAACTGGGCTGCTTTTCTGAAAACTAAATTCTTGAAAAATGATTGAAAATCTATATTGTCTTCGTGCAAAAATACTAGATGCCAAAACCTACCAGTAAAAACACCGTTTGCTTACATTCTATGTTGGGATGTAACACACAGTTTGGGCTGGTCAGACAAGCTGGACTACAAACACACTCTCACCAGATCCTGTCTCCTGGTTTTGCATTTGAATGGGACACATTAACAAGTCAAATCCTCTCTGCCTAGTGGCACGGTAGAAGAGTGGACTCACGCTGCATCTCGTCTCTGCTGTCCTCTGCAGCTACATATGTGAGAGGGTCAGAATATTAGGAACACCTCTGAATATAACGTAGACCAGTACAACACCACCTTTAACTATGACCTCAAGAATAACCATATAAATGAATGTAGACATTTATGACAGTTTCACCAAAAACTAACATTTTGAGCTTCATAGATACAGATGTTAAGGTGGACGTGCTGCACTGAACTGCATACAACTGTGTTACATACAGTACGTGTGTGGCCGGTGAGTGTATATTGTACATTGTGTATTTTACTGGCGTACAGAGATCTTTATGAAAGCCTGATTATAAAAGTCATTTAAATTTTAATCAGGACATCTCACCTACCAGACATACTTTCACACATATTGTAAATAAGGCATCCCTCTGCTCTCCTGAAGCCACCTCCCAAGCTGCCATTATTCCTCAACTCCATTATCTTCAGTTCTATAATTCTGCCCTCCTCCAAGTCCATTCGTCTGTCTGACACTTCACTCCTCACTTAATTAACCTCATCCCACACTCTTCAGAGCCAGTGTCTTATTTTCCTTTGGCCTCCATTTTACTTTCGGAGCCCCTGTTATAACTTGCTTAACACCCTCTTCTTCTCTCCATAGGCAGTCATTACAGGCAGAGCTAAATAAGAAAAATAAAAAAGCAGTTCATCTCTGGTTATTTTTGACTTGAAGAGAGGACCACGTATAATTACTGCTCCTCTTCCAAGGCCACAAACTCCTGCTTTCTATAGGCTATTCACACCAGTGGTTACAGATGTGCTTAAAATAACTCCACAGCAGTGAGAGATTAAAATGCTTTACAGAAAACTTTTTTACTTTTGTTACTGTAAATAAGCTGTGTCTTTTCCTATATGAATGTCTGGTATATTGACTTAGTTTCTTCTTAAAAATGATGTTTTCAGACAGTGTGAAGCAGCTTCAGCTGGACTCTCAGAGTGGATGCACTGCGCCACAGAAAGGGAGGATTTAACACAGGAGAGAGAAAAGTTCAGGAGGGCTGAATGGTTTATGGCATTCCTTTCCTTGTTGGGGAAGAAGAACCGGAGCTGGCTCCCCTCCAGTGTTACATGTCTTTTATTCAGGTTTTTACTGAAGTTCTTTTCAAATGACCCTGAGATTTAAACCTTCTTTCATGAACTTTTTGTTAAGTAAACATACTGTTTACTCTGTGTATCTTTCTTTCAACTACAGATAGATAGATGGGAGCTGAGGACAAAGGGTTGAAAGGTCACAGCCGCTCAGATGCTTTGCAAGGCAAGTTCAAAAATAGACCTGACAGCATCAGGAATACAATGGACTGTGAGTGTGTTTGTGTGTCCTTGTATAAAGTCCAGCTGTCCCTGTAGCCGCTATCTTAATGATATGACATAACTGGCTCAGTGAAGTAAAGTTGGGGTTTTTAGTGACTTTACTAGGTGATGATCACTTCAAATGTGTCTTTCCAATATCAGAACGGAAAATGTACGCAAAACTTTGTGGCATTTTGGTGGATAACAATATCTAAGGTAATCATAAGGGAAATCATGTGTAAACAGTGAAGCTCAACATCCTGACTGAACAACACACAGGGTGCAACAGGGTGGTAATATGTACTGTTCATTTATTTATTATTTGAAATGTCATTCTTAATTTATGCTGAATTGCGTGGTTGTTTGCAGCCAAATTTAACATTTTGCATGTGTAGCTCAGCAATAAAAGCCTCACGTTTGCCCTAGTTCACACTCCAAGTGAGCCAACTGATCACACTCTGGTTTATCTAGAATTAGTGCCAGATTACATGGTTCTTTCCAGGAAAAACCTGTAAGACTCATAATAATAATATATATAATTCATTCAGAAGCTATTACAGTAGCTAGTCCTACAGCTATAACTATAACTAAAGGTAAATGAATCGTTCCAGACTGACACAGCAGGCTGTGGCATTTTGAAATAGCTGTTGGCCTGTTTTTAAAAGTTCCAAACTGCAGTACAAAGCCAGAGTCGCTTCCTTCCCATGAGCCCTCTGGGAGCTGTCAGCGTCACACCTGTGCTGTCAGTATTCATGCTCTGAAACTTACCTGGCTGCTCCCTCAGAGCCACGATAGACACGATATAGTGCGCCATGTCAAAGTATGGAAACATGGACAAGTTTGCCAGTCCGTGGGACAGCTCGTCCAAATGCAGCACCCCGAACGAATCCATAATCTTATTCTCTCTCTTCAGTAACAAAAAGATATTTTAGTTAATCCCAGGTGGAGAAAAGGCACCGGCCCAACTCAGAGCATCAGGGCAAACATATGGATTCATCCACCGTCTGTCAAGTCGGACACAACCCTAAACAGCTGTGCGGCGGGGGATACACTACTGCCAAGTTGCTCGCAGCTGGTTACTTGACTTCAGGGGTCGCCGCTTGTCGCAGGGCAACAGATGTGTATTGCCAGAGGATGGTCATCATCGACGTTGCCAAACCAACGACGCTGTCATCAGCGCATACGCGGAATTCCTGCTCTGTGTTCCGCCATGCCAGTGGTGTGCCAGACCGGCTTCTGATTGGAGGAATGAGAGCGCGACGAGCCAATCATCTGCCAGAGTGTGGCATTGCGAGGGGATGCTGCAGGATTTGTAAACGCAAACAGCCCTGCACATACACGCAAAGGTACACGTCCACCAAGTACTGTAGGGTCTGTTGGGTCAGTGTTGTAAAACCTATTGTCTTCTTCTCTTTATTTACATTAGTAGCCTGCTCCACAGGTACAAAATGACAAGACACAGATGGGTGACAAATTAAAGGAAATAAATTGACATTTGAAAGAAAAACAGGATTGCTCACTGGTTAGTCTGATGATTATCTTTTTATTCACAGAATGTCAAGCATTAGGGGGAAAATGTCCATTCTGATTTTCCAGATTCAAATGTGGTGTCTTCAAATGCCTAGTATTGTCAGTCCAACACATTCAAAGATATTCAGTTTATCATCATCATGTATAACAAATAAGAGCATCACTTAGTCACAATAAAGTGGGTTTAACCAGATAATGTTAGTGATTGTTGCCTCAAAATGGTTTCTGGTTATTGCTGGTTAATTTTCTAACAATGGCTTAATGACTAAAAACAAGTGCCTTGAGCACATTGAGGGAATGTTTTTGATGCTTCCTCCCTCCAAAGGAGCACTGAAGCTGTTCTGCAGGCATTTTACTACAAAAAAGTGAATAAAAAAATAAAATAAATGGAGGGTGCAATATATGCCCGTGAGTTCACAATGCATGCCTCAGTAACCTTCCTGACTTTGGTTACAGACTTCCAGTATAATACTAGTGTAGGACTGCTGAGCTAATGCTCTGAAAAGATTGTGTTGAGATGTTTTCAGGTGGCTGGCATGAGGACGACACCTGGTGGTGGCTCCACATTAGTTGTTTTCTAATGTTGTCATACATTTGATATAAAATTGCAGATCTAATAATAATAATTCTATTACAACACAAGCTCTGCAGGCACTGAGACATCCCTAAAGTACATAGGACATGCACATCTGAAAAAACCTATACAGGTGTTGAATCAAAAGCTTAAAGGCAAAACACACACTGTACTGAGCTTTCAATAATTTCATTCAGTAGTAGCAAAATACATTTAGATATCTATAGGATCTTCATCAGGCACTATCAAACAGGCATCACATGGAAAAGCACATTTTTATGTGCACCTTGTCTGCAAATTAGTCAGAATGAAAACACCCGTGTGTTGTCTTAGCAGGTGCAAACTTTTTTCTTGCTTTTTGCCACTGAGACATCCCCACTTATTTTGTTTCTGGCTTGGTTAGCAACTGAAAACTACACTTGCAAATAAATTGGTAATGTTTCCGTTTAACACCCTCTAAAAAATCACCACAACAAGCAGCAGAATCCTTTATTTGAAACCAAAACTTTTGTCTGTATTGTCTGTATTGCTAGGAAGGAGCACATTGATTTTAAATCTATTAAAATCTCTGCATATTTCAATCACTTAGGACAGTAATTCTTACACTTTGTTTTAATATTTAATGAGTAATAATTAAACATTAATGCAATAGTAAAGTACTGGGGAGTTAAAACAGCACAGTGTCTTTGAGAGAAGCTGTAATGTGAGGCCACCAGATGGCAGCAGTTGACTATTCGTGACATACATCATTAGATCAACAATCCAACTGAAGAATAGCCATCTGTCAACAGCAACAGTTTAATAGTCTGTAATTTCATATCCACATTTAATTTTCTATCATTAAAAAAGGCAAATGTGTAAGTGAATGAGTGGACTATATTCAGGGGATTCTCAAAAAACAAAAACAAAAGATATGTCATCAAACTTGGGGCCACTGAGATGTGGATCGGTGACAGTGCTGGTGTTCACCTTTGTGTGACCTGTATTAACGTATACAAGCTGTGTTACACATGTGAAGGAAACCCCCATGGGAGGTAATGTGATTTTAAAGCAGTGATGAATATGGACAGGAAAATATTTAGAAGTTACAAAGCTGAGAACAAAAAGTACCTATCATGGCCAGGTGATGATGTAATTACATATTTAATTGTGAAACTCCACCCGAGACCACTCCTGTGTTTGTGCTGTTATCCGGTTCAGAGATATGTATCAGCTTGTTGAAACCTCTGACTTGTACTGTATGTTGTCACTGGAAACTAATTCCAGGGCCTGTGTTTTAGATATAACCCAGCTTTGTATAACTCCTCTTATAAATATATCATAGGATGATGGGTCTTTGCGGTTCAAGGCTCAGCGCTCATCCGAGCTCTTCTCAGTATGATCCCAAGGGTGTAGGATTAAACTCTCTGCATCTCCGACAACACAGGGATGGCTTCTCATTTCTCAGATTTCTAGAGCCCACTTCAAAGACCCAACAGTCATAAAATAAACCTCTAGTGCTCTTCATAGGAGATGTCAGACAGGGGTGGCACCAAATGAGTCCGTGAGTGTTTGCTGGTCTTTGAAAAGCTCCTGTTACTTTCACATCAAACAATTGCAGGTTAGGTAAAACTCTGAAATGAAAGAAAGGCCCTTGCACATGGGTCAAGAGGGACTGGAAGCTAAAAGCAAACCACACATTTAAAGCTTCTGCGTGTAGACAATGTTTCTTTAGATTTAGTGTTCTTCCGATTCGAAACTATAAAATGATCATGCAGTGTTTTCCTGTTTCATAAGCTGCTCTCCTTCTCTGTTGGATGGTTAGTCTAATGCATAGTTAGCTCCTGCTTAAAATGCCAAATTTTCTGGCATCAGTTTCACAAGTTTATTATTATTATTTATCCCTTATTTTCATTTAACAGACTGTATCTGGCAGAGGTGTCTTGGGTTCATCTTTCTGTACATTTGAATGGTTTGTAATAGGCCTAAGTCAGGTTATAGTGCAACAAAAGAAAACACAATCATTTGGTTTAAAGTTTTATTATGAAGAACAATTCACAGAAAAGGTGGAAACGAGACACAAACCACACCTCCTAACAGATGACATAAAGAAACAGTGAGTAGCCACACAGCTGTTCTGATTACACTATTGTTCTGCTGTAAATAGTTTAAGTGGTCTTCATGCAGTATATACAATCCCATTAATCAAGCCAAACCACTGAGTGGCTCTTTTGTAATTGTGTAACTCTCTCTCTGCTCTGCAGTAAATTATTTTCCTAGTAATATAAATTGGTGTGGAAAATTATTTTCCCATCGACACTGAAAGATAGTTCAAGCAGAAAGTCATGGCCACAGTTTCAGTTTCACAATAAGTTAACTCCTTGGGTACTCAGATATAATCTGTGGTCCTGAAAATACAGCTCTATATGGATTAAAAAATATCTCACACTCCTACCAAAAGAGAGCAAAGCCAAGTCTTTGTGTTGCCCACGCAGTAGGCCTATACTGTGTATTTACGCAAAACTGAGCTTTCATCTGATCCCCGATTCAGAGATTGCTTCATATCTGTGGCTGATTTCTCTCCCATGGATTCTTGGACGCATATGAATCATTCATTTAACTGGCATGTAATTGCAGCTTAAAACCTCAAACTTCCTAAACTGCCTGCTTATGTTACTGCAAACAATTATTCGTCAGTTGAACTTGTCAAAGATGAACATACTTTTGACAAGAACAAACCTTCCAGTAGATACATTTACTGAACTTAGTTTTGTTTTCTGTTCTCGACAAGCAAACTTTTCTTTACACCGAATATGAGACAAACTCAGAATTTAAATCAGGTTCAGGACAGATTGCTGAAGCCATGATGTCTGATAGCTCCTGTTCCACTAGCTTCTGTAACTCTCATTCAGCCTTTGTTTTTAGGGTTTACTTCCATAAAGGTGCTCACTACAGCACTTGCTATTATAAATTGATACCTTTGTGATTTTTAACAAAATTAAGATTAGTGAGAATTAAAAACAGAACAAACTACAGCTCCCATGAAACATGGCAGCATAGACACTTAGCAACCACTCAACTTGCTCATTGACTTACCTTTGTTAAGCTGTGCGTATGAAGATCTTGGGCTTATGGGGAATGGTGTTTATTAAAGTTCTTATTTCTGAAACGACACAAAAGCACCTCTCTCTCTCCTTTACATATTGTGTGCTTTTCATCAAGAGCTTGTATGAACATACATAATAAAGAGCTGTTTAGCCTGCGTATCTTTTCTTTAAGCCAGGTAAGCAGCACTTTATATTATACAGTAAAAGCTGATTAATGTCACAGAGATTTGTTTACAACATATGGTGACATATTCACACGTTAAGCCCCAGCAACACACCTTAAAACAGAAACTAACCCCAAAGTGCTTTGGACCAACCAGCAACGTGTTTGTGGTTAGCTAAATATGTCGAGAAACAGATATGGAGTTACAGCTGCTTGTGGTTAGGACCTTTACCTGGTGGTGTTTGTTTCCCCCAAATTGCCTGTAAACAAACACGCGAGCAGTTTATGCAGTCAGCTTCAACACAATGCGATGACACTTTGTTTCAGCCGTGACAACCATCAAAGTTCCTCTCACTCCTGTGAGACACGTGACCAAGCTTCCTCAGCAGACTTTAAAAGACAAAGACTGAGCTGTCGTTTTGCTTAATTCCCTGTTGATATAAAAAGCGGAAACGCTGCTTTTATAATGACTGAAAAGGTCAAAAAGGGTTCAGGATCAGTTCCCTGAAGTAAACACCTCCCCCACCCCAAACACCACACTGATCTAAGAAAATCTAGCTCATATATGTCTTTAGAGTATACATGATGTGTGTGTATGTTTAAATTTGCAATGAATCGCTCCCTTGTCCATTCACAAGTACTCTAGATGATAATAATGTGATACCATAATGATGTCCTTCAAACTAATCCAGCAGTCATTGTCTCTACAGAGATTTATCTCTGGCTGAGTTGACAAAGACAAGAAAAAGCTGGTGTTGGCTGCCTGCATGAACAGAAGGCCTGACAATGCATTATATATGTAAGTGTGTGTGTGTGTGTGTGTGTGTGTGTGTACTCTAGACAGTCCATGTGAACAGCCCACAAA